GGACTTCAACTCACAGAATGGCTGGCTGTGGAATTCTAGAAGTTAAAATCCACACATCTTAAAATTGCCAAGGTTGAGAAACATTGGCATAAGCTAGGTTATGGGGAAATATCTACCCAGAAGACTTATTCCTCTAATGTGATGCATGGACAAATGTGTAGTAACTGAGTATTCTACAGCAGTGTTTCTCAATCCTAGAAACTTTAAGATGTGTGGTTATATTGGCTGGGCTATACTGGCTGAGGAATTCTGGAAGTTGAAGTCCACATGTCTTAGGTTGAGAAACAATATACTTGTAAAAAGTCTAATGTTCTTATACAGAAACTGAAGCCTCCGGTCAAGAAAATGTTGCATGTAGCTTCAGTCCTGCTGTGAACTGATTATACAACTCAATGCTACATTTTAGAGTTGTCGTTTAGATAACTTCAAAGTTATTGCTTATTAACCCTTTCAATGTGTATGAATTGAATCCTGTCAATCCTGATTTTAATCACAAAATATCAAAAAGTTAGCACGAATGGCAGACAATTATTATTATTTTTGCAATCCTTAATGATCAAAGTGGAAGTGTGTGTGTGTGTGTGTGTGTGTGTGTGTGTGTGTGTGTGTGTTTTTCTCATCTTTTTTTTTTATATTGTTGCAACCAAAACTGAATGCAGTATTCCAAGTGTGGCCTTACCAAGGCATTATAAAGTGGTATTAACACTTCACGTGATCTTGATTTTATCCCTCTGTTTATGCAGTCTAGAACTGTGTTGGCTTTTTTGGCAGCTTAAAGTTGTCAAGTTTGAGAAACACTGGCCATGGCTATCTACTGGATTTTGCTTCATCCTGCCACCACGTTGCCAGCTGTACTCCTTCCTTGCATCTGACTGATGACACAGGACATGTACAAAAGGGGTGGACTTTGCTGCACAACAACATATTGCTAAAATTGAGGTAGCAAATACACTACCTCAGATTCTTATTTTCCAGATAGTCTTTTAAAATTATCTATGCTTTCTCACAGCATCATACTACACAGGGCTGCTTATGGTCCCCCAAAAGTTTATATGTCACAAAAAAAGTTGCTACTAAAAGGTGATTTTTTTAATGATGGAAGTGAGAAATTATGAAATATGTGTTAAGTAATCATATTCATGAAATTCAGCTGTTAATTATTATTTGTCTGACCTTGACTTCTTGTCCATGCCTACGTAATTGACTGTAACTTTGCAACACACAATTCCAAGATCTGTCAAAGATTTCATTCGGAGATATTGTATGCTGCTGCTTTTCCATTTGAAATAATATTATCTAGCTGACTTGCAAATATTAAGCATATGTTAATCTTTAGATCAGACAAGAAGCCTACTCACTGATGGTCTTTTCCACTCAAATTTGACTTGGAGCCTGTGACTGAAGAAAAGGGAGCTGTCATTAGCTGGAAAATCTGGATCCTCATAAAGAATCTTCTTTTCAAGGCACTTCTTATGAAGCTCATGAAAGGTTTTCTCCTTGACTTCGGTGATGGGATGGTTGCGGCTGAGGATGGCAGAATAAATCCCTCCTGTTCCAGCACCTGTTTCTGTGGTTGTGGTAGCATGCTGACAGGGAATTGGTTCAGAGCCAGTCTTTTGAACAACAGTGCTACTGATAGTGGACGGCATCTAGTTTAAGTTGAAGCAAAACTATCAATTAAATTATAACAATTGAAAAAGAAACTAGGACCTGCAAGGAAGTGGAGAAAGAAGAAGAAGAAATGGCGTTGCACAATCTCTTCTGCAGACTGAATTTTTTCTCTTCCTTTTTTGCAAGACTTCAAACAATTGTAGGAAGATTGATGCCATCAAGTGGTATAGATGTTATCCTGAGGTTCTCATAACAGTTACTCTGTCCTTTCATGTTAAAATCCTCATTTTAGCAGGAAGCAAATTTGTAGAGTAACTTCCATCCCCGGATTCATGTGTGTGAGGGTGGCTGTAGCATGCTATGTAAAGGTTGCAGTTCTGACAACTAAAAATAAACTCTTAGAAAGCATATTGGCATGGAGCAGGGGATGAGGAAAGTTCCTTTCTCAGGGTTGGATCTTTCAGTAAGATTGAGAGTGCAAGTGCAAGTGCAAATGCCAGGGAGCCTTACACAACTTTTTAACCAGCATTTAGAAGTAAGTAACTCCATATGCAAAAATTACAGGGTGATGTAACATTATTCTGATAACAATTCATTTTACAGTGATGCATCCAACATAGAGATGTGCTAAAAGCAAGACAAACCTTTCCAAAAATGGAATATTCCTTCCTGATAATTTTTCATAAAGAAATGTTTAACAAGATAAAAATTATGCAAATTTTGAAAGAAAAAAGTAAGAGAGCAAAAGAATAAGTAAGTGAAAAGTGTAACGAAAGAAATAGCAATGTGAAGGAGAGGAGAGGAGAAGAGAGAGGGAAGGGAAGGTTATAAGGAAACAGTTTCCAATTTTATAATAGCAGTTGCAAGTACATTTATATTTTACATTCTCCCTATATACCCTCTCGAGATAACATAGTTTCCTTATTTCCATAGTCTTATCATTTATAAACATCAAACCCATAAATTCATTTTTTCCAGCAAAAAGTCCATAAGGCGTGTGAACACAATCTACTCCCACATCATCTAGAACTTTGTGTCCAAAATATTATAAAGCATTTTTGATTCAGAAAATTGACTTTCAAGAAACTATATGATTCCACAAAACAACCGAGTAGGATCTGGAAGAGAAATGGGACATTCTGGAACATACATATTATATATGTAATAAAAACAGGCCCAGGAAACAAAGAGGGCAAGGGCATCAATTTGCAAGTGTTTGTGTATTCTTGTACATTGTGTATTCTATTACATTATAGATTTGTGAAGAGGTTGCATTCTACTCGGAGACTTCTGGGAGAAGAAGGTTTCCTATCTGGAAAGTGTGTTGTGTGTTCAGCCTCTGAATCTGGGTTGGTATGATCAGTTTGTGTATGCAGCTTGTAATTTGGGGGAGAAAAAAAAGAGATGCATGAACAGTGTGTGTTATGCTGATAATGTGTACCTGCCTCTTCTTTTTATTTTGATGCTTTGGGTGCTACTTTAAATTTTGGTTTTTAGGTGGAGGCGGTCGAGAAAGAGATGGGTGTGATGTGTGCCTTGATTTTTGTGTTACCTAACTTTTTAAAGAACTGTAAGCATAAGAAAGGGACACGGTAGCTCAGTGGCTAAGACGCTGAGCTTGTTGATCAGAAAGGTCGGCAGTTTGGCGGTTCAAATCCCTAGCACCACGTAACGGAGTGAGCTCCCGTTAACTTGTCCCAGCTTCTGCCAACCTAGCAGTTTGAAAGCATGTAAAAATGCAAGTAGAATAAATAGGAACCACCTTTGGTAGGAAGGTAACAGCGTTCTGTGCGCCTTCGACATTTAGTTATACCAGCCACATGACCACAGAGATGTCTTTTGACAGTGCTGGCTCTTCGATTTTGAAATGGAGATGAACACCGCCTCCTAGAGTTGGGAACAACTAGCACATATGTGCGAGGGGAACCGTTACCTTTTTACCTTTTAAGCATAAGCCCAGACCATATTGCCTTTCTATATTTCCTTTTGTTTTTCCTATTTTTCTTTTCTATTATCACACACAATCAATTAAAAAGGAAAGAAGAAATGGCAGCACAATGTTTTTTGCTTACCGTAGTAACATTAAGAGTCTCCCTTCTGAAAATATACCGGTAGTTCCTCCTGCAAGTATATCGGTAGTTACCAATTGAACTGCTGAAAACAAAACAATAAACACATAACCCTCCCAAGTACCATGTTTAAGAATGATTATTTATCCCTCAAAAATTTATATATTGTACTCTATGCTTTATGGCTAAGATTGCAGTACCATGCTAGGCAGCTTAATTTGCGCTTAGGGGAACATTGACTTAATTGCATTTTAGCCTCTGTTAACTGTCATTCATCATTGGAACATATTTTCTTTTTAAATTTGGGTTTGCTTCCATACTGGCAAATTCTATTTCTTCCCACATTGTCAGTGTTTGTCCTATGTCTATTCCTTCAGGATTTCAGAGACAGAATCTATTCAGCAGAGGGAAGTTGGATCTGTCAATTCTGTTCGTATAATAGGCAGTGTGCAGAACTGCAAAGCCCTTGTATTTGTTCCCAAACCTGATCTATTGGTAGGTCTATATCTGACTGATCAATGCTTTCCTACAGTTTTAAGATGCATTGAATGGACAGTATGTGGAAGTACAATATGGCAAGGATGTATCTCTGAATCAAGCTGCCATTTATGGGTGTACAAAAGAAAGAAATAGGTATAGTGATGCAAATTTCAGAATTCCAGAAGGCAAATATGCATACATTAACAGAGGATCTTTTATCAATTAGAGCTTGTAGAAAGTTTAATGGTTTCTTGATTTAGAAGTTTCAGTTTCATGTTAACTGATAAAATAGAGGCTTCTATTCTGGGTGGTGGGATATGACCGGTACGCCCCGGTACAGGTGTATTGGTGCGTGCTGGAAGCACCAGGTACCATTCCGGTACGGTACTCCAGAAGGCCCACCCGCCTGCCCACTCTCTTTACCAATTGAGCCGATTGGGGCTTTCGCGCATGCGCACAGAGCATATGGTAACTGTGCGACATTCCGCTGGCAGCTGGAATGCATGTGCGTACTGCGCGTGTGCTGCGCATGTTCACATGGTGGACGCTGGGCTCCATTGCAGCGTACCGATTGCAACGAGATCCAGAACCCACCACTGATCTAACCCCCCCACTTTAAAACAAAAACAAAAATCTGAGCATGACATGAAATGCATCATGATAGCATGACTTACATAATATGATATGGGGGTACAAGTACATAAGGAAAGGATATTGGGGTTTTGTGGCTTGCTGTGGATGCTTCTGGCCAGCCCAATAAGATGGTCCTCCTTTAGTTTCTTTCTCTGATTGTTAAGTGACTATGGGCTCCTTCCTGTCTTATCTCTCAGGCAGCATTTCTTCTCCTCTCCCCTCAAGGTCACCCATGCATTCCACTATAGATATCACTCTAAGGACTCCAATCATGATTTCTTTTTCCATAAGTGTCCATATCTTCAAATCCTATAATTTCATCATTTCTTCCAAATGTTTTTCCTCAGTCCTAGCATCATCCCTATATGACAAAATCATGAACCAGACTTCCATCTTTCCAATAACTGGCGTGTTATGAACAAAATTTCTGTCTGCTTGGATCTTGGAACCCCATAAAATCATAACCTGCTCATTTTCCAAAACTGTCTCGATGGTGCCAGTAGTTTTTATTGCATGCAAATCCAAACCTCTGGCAGTTTCCAACGAATAATTCTGGCAATCTGTCATGACATTACTTGCAGTCAGTTGATGAAATTTTGCAGAAATCACTAGTCAAATGGCCAATTGTTTCATTCTTTTCATTACAAAAGGGACATATGCTGTTGCTTGAGACATGTTTGTTTCACCTTCATGAAATGAGTTGGCAAAGCTTGTTCTTGAGCCTCTTAACCAATACTATGTGAGTTTTAAAAAAATCAGCTTTTCCTTCTCTGTATAGATTATGCACGAGGACATGGGATATTATGGGATTCCCACTTTTCTAAGCACATTCCACAGCTGGATACGGTAGAAACAATTGAGGGCTTTTCTACAACCAGTGAAGTACATAACTGATTTTTTTTCTGTACGCTTCTTAATTTTCCAGTATGCATCAGGAATAATGTCTCTTATTCTTCAGCCTTTTCTAAAGCCAAGTTGAACCTCTGGCATCTTCCTTTCCATGTAGCGCTGTAAATTGCTTTGAATGATGCTAAGCATAATTTTGAAATTAAGAGTACTATTCAACAGTTTGCATACATTGTCAACTTTCTTTTCTTTTTTTATTGGTATAGAGCCGAGGTGGTGCAGTGGTTAGAGTGCAGTACTGCAGGCCACTTCAGTTGACTGCTAGTCTGCAGTTCGGCGGTTCAAATCTCACTGGCTCAAGGTTGACTCAGCCTTCCATCCTTCCGAGGTGGGTAAAATGAAGACCCAGACTGTGGGGGCAATATGCTGACTCTGTAAACTGCTTAGAGAGGGCTGAAAGCCCTATGAAGCGGTATATACGTCTAACTGCTATTGCTATTGCTATTGCTATCTCTTTCAATCTGATGCCTAGCATGGATGTTTGTTTTTTTATGGACAACTGAGATCACTTTCACATCTTGGATAACCTTGCTGGGAATATATTCTCTTGGTGAACCCTCCCAGCATTCTTAACTCATTCCTTCTGGTAATATTTTTAAATGTAAACTGCCCAGAATTACTTTGCAGAGTGAGATGGGTGATCCCACCACACGGAGATAGCATAGCAGGATTTGAGGGTATAGTTTACTGTATTTGGTGTCTGTAATATCTCTATTTGATTGCAAATGCGTTCCCAACTAACATATTTACTTCCACATTCTGCTTTCTCTTGGTATCTACTAATTTAGTTATTACAAGACCTGCGGATGTGGTTCTCTTGCAGCAGGAAATATTAGAAGCAACTTAAGCTGATTGGTATGGGAAGACACAAGTGATTCACATTACTGCACAGTTAGAACAGCAGCAGTGATATATTTCTGCACTTGTGGAAGACTTTGGATACTTTCCTTCCCTGATTTA